CCATGACCCATTCCCCTCCTTGTCCTCCTCCTCCTCCTCTTCCTTCCGCTCTGTCCCTTCTCCTGTTCCTCCCCATGACCCCTGCACCTGCCACTCCTGTTATCCCACCAATTGCCCCTCCCTCCGCAGACAACGCTGTGATGGAACCGTGCGCACCTGCTCGCAGCCCCCAGGTGCTCTAACGTGCAAACCTCCCGAGGCGCAACTACGAGTCCCCTTCCAGGACGATGTCAACTGATCCGACGCCGAGGCGGGGGCTGCAGAGGGCTTCCAGCGCTCAAGCCATCTACGTCTCCATAGCCAATCACCCGTTGTCCAGCGGCAGCAATACTGGCTGAGAGAGGTCCAGGGGCTCGAGCAACAGGGCCAAGCGGTCCGACTCATCGGGGTGCGACGCGCTCCTCGTATGCGCAAGACTCGATCGCTGGACACGGAATCGCCGAGCGAAGCATCGGGGCTCCAGCGGACAGTGCATGGCCCACCGTGGGGACAGAAGATCCCACCCGAGCTGGCCGCCCCGGCACCAGAAAAACGTAAGAGGGCCTGGCCCCTGGCACGAGCACGGCAGCGAACGGCGAGCACGGCGGTCGCGATCGGAAGCCGCGCGATCCGACTTGGGGGTCCCAAACGGGTGCGGTGACTGACCGTGCGGCGACATCGGAATCCCAAGAGACACCCTGGAGGCCCCGGTCGCCCGAGACATCCTCGGAGAACTCACCACGCGGTGTGGAAACCGCACCGTTTGGGGTCCGCCGACAGACGCCGACGAGGCGAAGAGACCGCCAGACCAGGAGCCCACGCCTGCGGAGGGCGGGGCGGCAGAGCAGCCAGGGGGCTCGCCCCCGCGCGAGGCCGTGAGCCGTCGGAGCGCCCTCGTGGCTCGGAGCGCTCGGCGAGCGCGCCTCTTTTTTGTGGGGGGATGGGCTTCGACACTTAGGAAGCAACTCTTGTCTATCGGCACTGCTGAACGCCCCGAAAGACTGGCAGGTCCACCTCGAATGGCTGTGGTTGAATAAATATCTTCGGATACTCTGTGCCATCAGCGCTGTCGCTTCAGACGAGGCCCGGCGGACTGCGCAAGAAGGCCGTGCACCAACGCAGAACCTTCTTCGAGAGGTGTGGCCTCCGCTGCGAAGAAAGACACCGCTGCGGACATGTATTTCCTGGCCACGGCGTACGCTTCGAAAATGCCACGGTATTCGAACCCAACAAGCCAAGCCGCTGCAGAACAGGATCCTGCACGAGTGCCGCTGTCTAAACGCACCGCTGAATTGCAAGTTACAGGGACGCCCAGAAAGGGCCACGCGAGAGTTTGGGACCAGCTGCGGCCCGCGTTCATAGTGTAACTCGCCAGGTACTCTGCGCCGATGTGTTTCCCCCGCTCGTGAAACCTCGCAGGGTCCCGCCAGGGGCGGGGAGGCCTCCACCCGGTCTAGCATATGCCGCCAAGATCCTGACATAGTATGGTGACGAAGGGCTCCTAGCTGCTTGTGGGCCAGCGGCGACACGCCCCATGGCTGCTTGCTGCAAGAGCTGGCCGTCGACCACGCAGATACAGCAACCAATGTCATGCCCCAAAATTCTGTTCATCCTCAGAAGCGTCAACGGAATGGTCGCGCAGGCATGCTTGTAGGTCGTACAGTCGGGGCGCTGACCGGGGCGCTGACCTAAAGAACCCAAAATAGGGAACGAGGCCCCTTTTTTCCATACGTTAACCTTCGATTTCCCATCGAAAACACAAGGAAAGCCTGAGGCGAGCTGCGAAACACTTAAGGAACGCGGAGCCCCTCCCCAACGAAAAGGGTTCCTTCTTCAGGGCCCCGACTGTAGGTCGTACTCGCGCTCCTGTTTCTTGGCGAAGGGCCCCCCGGTGGACTTCTGCGCACTTTCTCCGGGAGCCTCGGCCGAGCCCACGACCCTTGCAGACATGCGCTGACGAACGGACGCCGATTGTGATCCCCCCTCCGGCCACGCTGGGCATGCGTTCCCCGTACCTTGCGCCAGTGCGGCCCGAAATGACTACCTACCAGACCACCCCAACCCAACCCGAAGAGCCGAATTTGACCCGAATTTCGGGTTTGGGGGGGTACGGATTCCATGTGTTTTTTCAACGTTCCCCGACCCCCCCCCCACTGGAAATGGAGGGCAAACTGAGGGCTTCGGGTTGGGTTGGGGTGGTTTGGTGGGTGGTGACGACAGCCGCCACTGATACCTCTTCCCACCAAGCTGGGTCCTGCAGCAGCCCGAGCTCTGCAGATGACAAGAGCGGCGCGCCGGGGGTCTGACACAGCAGACTCGGCTGGCTTGCGGCGCAGCGGCAACAGTTTCCGGGGCCACTGGAATTCCTGCCGCCGGATCTCTGAGAGGGTGCTGTTCGTCAAGTGCCAGGCCCATGCGCCAAAACAATGCCGACGTCGGGCCTTCGCACCAAGACGTTCACGCCATTGGAAGCTCCTGAATTGGACCAACAACGGCCTTGCTGGCGATGCTGAAGACTATGCTAGGACGAGCCAGTGACGTCTAACATGATGCCAAGCACTTCCATCTCGCACACCTTTCGCGTTGGTGGAAAAAACAAGAATGATGCCTTCCAAAGACGCTGGTTCCAGAGCACCAGATCATTGAAACTCCAGGGACGAACTTTTCCATGTCAACTTAAGCATGTATACCGCTGCTGTCAGCTCGACGCACATCTGGATGAATTGATCCACGCTGGAGGCGAATAGGAAAATGTTGTCGGCCCAAATCACGTGCGTGAGTGAAGCAATGCCTGGGCCAGGTTGGAAACCGTAGCCTCAACGGCTAGAATCTTCGACGAGGGGCTCCAAGATACCCTCCAAGAGCATGTTGAATTCGTCTGGCGTTTCAGCGCCACCCTGCTTTCCCCCATCCGCTGGACAGCAAAGTTCGACGTGTCGCCAGCTCGTGGAAGGTCTTCGTAAGAACGGCTAAGAGCTATTAAGCCCGATGGAGGGGCCAGTAAATCGGATTCGCCGAGATGAAGCCCGTGATGCAGGATTGACTGGGATTAGACCGGATCAGGCCAGTTTTCGACCACAGATATACATACCGGCGACGATGCTGAATTCAACCTCCAAGGAATTACATCCTAACGGCACCGACCGCCGAAGGTGGGCGCAAATGCGACGGCCAGGACAAGGAGCGAGCACCAGCCAGGGCGACAGGCCGAAGAGAAGGAGGGAAGTCCGCCACCGCGCCTACAGCGGTTCCCTTCGCAGGCTTCGGTTTGACTCTCGAGTGCAGGCAGCGTCCGAAGATGCATGTAATGGCCGGCTGGTTGAGTGGCCCGGCAACCCGCTGACGCGAAAAGTTTCGCCTTCTTGCTGGGCAATGATCGCCCCCCCCCCGCGCATCCAGCGCAACATGCGCCCCCTTGTTTGACAAAGTCCCTGCGTCTGTTGTCCTCCAAGTAGGGAGCGGCGCCAAAATCAAGCGATTGGATAGGGAGTCTCGTGAACTATACCCTCCTGAGCGCCCCCGCAGCCCCCCTAGCCAACCCGCCCCCTCCTCCAGCACCTGCACGAGCAGGTGCTGGCTTCGCGCGGCACCACAACTGGATAATGAAACGGAGTAGGAGGAGGAGAAGGTGGAGGAGGAGAAAGAAGGGCGGTGGACAAAGAAAGGGCAAAGAAAGAGAGGGGGAGGCAGAGGAAGGGGGAGGAGGAGGAGGAGGAGGAGGAGGAGGAAGAGGAGGACCAGTGCAAACCCAAGACTCATCAACGATGTTGCAAGCCTTCCAAGCTCCCTCTTCAAAGGCCCCTACAAACATACATTTCCGCTTAGGGAAATGCCCCGTTGGAAGACAACCGCCTGAAAATCCTGAACCGTGCCAGAGAACCACCCCTGGGACTTCAACGTCACGAATCAACCTTACTGCTGCGTCTTGACGACCCTGAATCGTGCCAGAAGACCATTCTTGGGACTTCAACACCACGAATAAACGTAACTGTTGCGCCCTGACAATCCTACATCGTTCCAAAACACCGTGTCTGGGGCGTTAACCATGAGAACCCTTGAAAAGGCTTGCAAACTTTTGAAACGAATGTGCGCGGCACTAGCGCAAGAGCCACATATTGAAAGCAACCGCCCTCCACCCGCGAAACTCCTGCAATTGCTTTAACGAATTTGCGCGGCAAAATAGCGAGAGCCTCAATTTGAAGAGGACACGCCCTCCATCATTGAACCTCCTGCAAAGTCTTAGGACGAATGTGAGCGGCATAAAGGCGAGGACACAAATTGAAAGCGGCCCGCCCTCCATCTGTGAAACTGTTGCAACTGTCAACCTTAAAGATCAGAAATGGTGGGGAACGATTTTGCGAAACGCCAGGACCGACCTACCGACACGTCTCGGGGTACGACGGGGAGGAATTATTATTTCGAAGGAAAAGAAATGGAGGAAGAAAGAAAGGGGGCGGAGGGAGGAGGGGGAGGAGGAGGAGGAGAAAAAGAAAGGGCTAGGAGGGGGGAGAAGGAGAGGGGGATGAGGGGGGAGAAGGAAGAGGAGGAAAAGGAGGAGAAGGAGGAAAAGGAGGAAGAGGAGGAGGAGCGCACGCAACTTCGCGCAAGGGTTATCTTCTCAAGCCGCACCAGCAGACACTTTGACCGGGCGGAGCAGCTTCAAATTAAAGTCGAGATCAGATCGACGATTAGGCGAACACTCCAGTTCAGCCCTCCGCTTGTGATTACATTGGAAAGCAAGCATCGTAATCTGGTGGGCCGCAAGGCGCGAAAATTCAAGGGAGTAGTCGGACTCCAACCCCAGGCCAAGCCCAACAATGGAGCAAGAAGGAAGGAAAGATCGAGGAGACGAGCAGGGAGGTGCAGAAGGCGAGAGCACGAGAGATAGGGAGGGACAGAACCCACACGCCCTTCACACCCTGGAAGACAAAGAGGAGGGAGGAGGAGGAAGAGGAGGAGGAGGAGGAGGAGCGATCCGCCAGCGACCCCCCCGGTGTGACTCTGTTGGAGGCGATGCCAGC